CAGCATGGGGGTGAGTAGAAAATGAAGTCTAATCATGTTTTGGGTGTACTATTACTTTAAGCCCACCCTGCTCCCCAGGTGCCGCACAATGGCAGCCTACAGCTCCCCAAGGGGATGGGTTAAATGCAGAGAGTTCATTTCATTCCTCTGTACTTTAGACAGTGTAATGGCAATAAAAAAGGTTGAAAAACAAAAGGAAAAGAAAAACAAGTTGATGCAGTACCAAGTCCAACCACATAAAATTAATTGTGTGGATAGAAGAAATTATCTTGATTGTTTTTTGTTTTGTTTTCTTCAAATACCAACAGGCCATAATAAAAAGGGGCTTAAATGAAACAAAACTAACAAATGTATTTTTAAAATAAGGAGCAGAAAGTAGAGATAACTGCAAAAAATATAAGGAGCAGAAGTAAAAAGTTAAATAGTAAAATAATTTATCTCTATAATTATTCAGTAGAACCCATGTCCTGTATTTATAGAACCATTATTTATCCTGCACTTGCTGCTATTGCTCTTCTGGTTAGACCTAAAATGCATTTTGTTGCCTTGTACCTGTGCAATGACAATAAAGTTGAATCTAATCTAATCTAATAATTACTCCAGTAAAGTGTAGATAGCCAAAATGTCTACTTAAGTAAAGTAATGAAGTGTTTGCACTTTTTTACTTGACATCTCTGCTGAACAATCACTTTATTAGTAACAGCTATTTGACTTTTAACACAAACACACTCTTTTAACAGTTGCATAAAGGCATCTGGATTTGTTGTTCAAAAAATAAATGCTGAATGATCCAAGGAGGGTTGATCTCAGCAGCAGGATTCTTATAGAATGTATTCTTCCTTGTATAATTTAATCATTTAGGCAGAAATGTGATGGCGGTCCATATTCTCGGCCCCTCAGGATGGTACTAATGGCACAGCCTATCTGATTACCTCTGCTCACCTTCCCTCTATGGCCTCTACAGTTACCTGAGTCAAAGTCAGTAGAGCATCTCTGGTGCCGTTGAATTAAATATTTCCCACATGGTTGTACAAATAACAAATCTGTAGCAACAAAATGTTTTAATGTCATAAAAAAAATGTAAATCCCTTTATTTTTCAACAATGGGGAAATTCACTCTGCATTTAACCTGCCCCCTTGGGGAGCAGTGGGCTGCTATTGTGCGGCGCCCAGGGAGCACTGTGTGTTAAGGGTTTTGCTCAGGAATCCAGAGTGGAGGCTGTGGGGATCAAACCGGTTACTTGCAACCTTCTCAGAGCACAAATGCACTGTTCTAACCACTAGGCCAACACTCCCCAAACTGTTCATAAACTCAGGGGAATGTATAGTGGCTAAATCTAAGCCTTATTTCTGAAATCAAGCAGTGGTCTAACCTGGTATTGGCAGGATGGGACCGTAGTAAACGGATAATTTCATAGACAGAAAAGAATTAAAGCCTTTATATTTAAATATATATCATTTTTTTATAGACAGATTTTCCAGAACATACACCTGAGACTTTAAATTTAAAGATTTTATTTTTTTTCAGTAGGAAGATGCAACCTGACGTCTGATGTTGCAGTGAGGCCCTGGATGTCCTTTTTTAACCCTCTTCTCTGGGAACAAAAAACTGCTGAACAAAGAAGTTTACATTTTTGTTCTCTAGCTGACAAAAAAAAAAAAAAGCACATTTTGTCCTCCTGGTGCAGAAGAATCTGCAAGGAGGATATGACTTCCCCATGGGATCATTTTCTTTTGAACAATGGAAATCTATTGTTTATGCGACGCTCAACTGGGATAAAAACTTGGCAGACTGAAAAAGCAGGTAGAACAGAACAAAGTTCAACAGAACCCTATTTTTTTCAACCAATTACCCACTTTAGGTTAAAAAGCACCTATGCTGTATGATTAATAACACAAACAATAAAAAAAGGATTTCAGAACTACTGTATGTCACTAAGCTGGAACAGTAGCTCTCTAAGCTGCTCCTCAAGTATTACCACCCTGCATGTTTCAGATGTCTCTCTGTTGCAGCACACTTTATTCAAATAATTTCATGACCTCCTTTGCAGCCTTTAAGGGCTGCAGACGCCTTTTAATCCTCCATTTATACAAGTCAGGTGTGTGGCAGCGAGGGGAAATCTAAAACATGCAGCTCAGAGTCACTTGAGGACCAGGACTGAGCTCAGAGAAACAGAGCCTTGCTACTGACATAAAGTTGAACAGGAAATCCTTGCTTTTGTTTGGCAGGCGGTGATTTATATGATCTGAGGAAAGAAGACGGATTGATGCCAGTAACTTTGAAGCTTCAAGGCCTGGATGGGTTGTGAGCAAAGCGACATAGTGTGAATCTGCAGTAATCAGAACTTTTAGGATTAACATTTTAAAGTACGTCTTCAGTTCTAAATACTTAGAAAATAAATTTAAGAAAATGTCCGATCATTCAGGTTTTGTTATTTTATTTTACTCTCAAATGAAGGATAATTTTTGCTTGGAATTTACTTTTTTCTTATTTACTTTGTGCTTAAAGTTGCAATGCTTTGATTCTAACTCAGAGAGTACTTCAGCCACTCAGATCCATCTTTAATTCGTTGTTCTCTCAGAAATTGGATTTTTGTTTTGTTCTATAGGTTTGGAAAAAAAAAACAACAAAAACACAGCTTTGATGTTTGAGCATCATCACAACCTGCTAAGAAAGGATTACAAAAAGCGCTTCGCCGAAGCACTAATCCATTTAAAGAATGGTTCCTGGAGCAAAAATAGCAAAAAGGCAAAACAAGGATCCATGTCATTCAAAGTGGCAGGACAGGAATTCCTCAGACAGTGACTGTGAAGAAGTCTCTTCTCAGCGCTGACGCTGGTTTCAGTAGAGTCAGAATGACGTTAATCTACTTTTACTCAGACAGCTAGCTGTAAGTCTCACATAACCATGGCTCTGTTCTTTGTGGTTTTCAGTTTCTATAGCTCATATGACAGTGGTGTGGTGAGCAGACTAAGGAAGGCTGCCTGTTAGAGCCTCAGTCTGTATGAGGAAGGTGCTCCATCCATGTTAGATTCATTGCTTTCATTTAGGTCTCTTATGTAGTAGGACATCCATTTTTGGCAGACTGAATACAGCAAACCGTGAGCTGCTCATTTTGTTTGAAGGTTCACTCTGTTACACCCTGAAGTAACTATTATTTCAAACTGGAATTGTGAATCTTTCTAAACCTAGAGAAAGGATCAAGTTACTCCTCATGCACAAAGCATCAAACATAACTTGTTCAAATAATTCACACAAAAAAAAGGAGGATCAGTCTTAGGACAGATATCTACACAGTAGCTTAGAGGCAGAAAATGTCTGACACCTTCAGTGACTTTATTGCAGTTTTTGCCTACCATTACTAATACACTGCAAAAAAGGGTTGTTTCCCTATTATCTTGTTAAAGAAAAAAAATCCAACCTCGGTGTAAAGTATTGGGCTAAAGTGCATCGCTGCTGGATGCAGCGTCTGAACAGCTGCTTTCATATTTGCACGTGTGGGGTCTGAAATGTAAGTAAACAGAGTATAACAGAACTATCTTGAAGCAGTTTCCAGAATCTATAGGAAGAAGAAAAACATCCCCACAGCTTGATGCTGCCACCATCGTTGTTGGGATCATCGAAAAGGGGATCTAATTACATATCTACATATATATCCTTCCAATTCAAAATTAACCTAGACCATAAACTACAAGCCAGTAGCTGTCCAGGACTGGAGTTGGAGATCCCTGATCTTTATCATTTAACTGGTAATGCAGTCAGTAAGGTTTGTGATTATAAAGTGAAACTGTTTAAGAAGCAGCGACAGTTCCTGCAGCTGTAACTTCTCATTCAGGCCATAAAGGTGTTTTTTTTCCACTAAAGCAAGACAATGGCACAAATTCTACAAAGCTGTAAACATAAAGTCTTTGCTGTCCTCGTTATACAGCTTTCAGATACAACCACAAAAGGAAACGCTCTCCGAATCTTGCTAGTGATGTAGTAATGAGCTTTTGGCCGAGTTCAACACACTTATCAGCTGTCAGCGCCTCCACCCATGAAGGTCAAAGAAACATTTCCAAGTAGGCAACAGCATGCAGACTTTTTAAGCCTCTGAGATAAAACGCTTCAATACGAGCGATTGTTGAATTTGGGAGGCAAATTAACATGAACTTTAATAGGTTTTATTTTTTGGTATATGAACTTTAAGCTGAGCAGTTTTCATCTCGCCTCAGATGTGGTAACTGAATAAATATAACATTAACTCTAAACGCATGCTACAGGAACAGTATGTGGTGTAAAGTGATATATACATAGCTGTGTGTTGAAATGACTCTGCATTTCTCTGCATTGCAGTATGAGTACACCCTGCTATTTCCTCACTACTACCAGTCAGGGGAAACGTATGATTTCTTTACAATAAATAAGGAACCAAATTAAAGGGCTGACTGGGTCAGAAACAAAGAAAGCTTACTGGTTTTAGGCACCATTTTATTAGGCATAATTTAAAATCATCTCACTGTTAGTTCATTTATACAAATATGTTTTTGTTATTTATAAAACAATTACAGATTTCTACAAATCAAGTTCCCAGTGTAAAAGCGTAGTACCACGCACACGGCAGCATATTGCTCCAGGACACAGATACAGAGAGCCCACAGGTGTATGTTCCACTTTAATAGCACTATCTGAGTAAATTTGGGACATGATTAAAGATAAAAAGTTTTCCACAGATAGGTTTAAATATTGTGCACTCACACACACACATTCAGTCTTAATCAGGCCCTTTTAGCAAATTTCACACTTTTAGTAGATCTCAAAGCGCATCAATGTCACACAAAACCTTTCCTTGTATTGCTCTTCGTTTATTCTAGACTCTGCACAGGCCACGATCGAGGTTGAAGTATTGAACACCCCGGATAGCAGAGTAAATAAAAATAACTACATATAAGGGTTGCTATTGTTGCAGCTAGTTGTAAGCACAAACAAGCAAAGAGTTATAAAAATACTTTAGAAAAATATATAAAAATCTTCAGATGTGGTACAGCTACACCAACGCAGCCCTAGTTAACTTTAAGCAAAAGCTGTGCTTATGCTTTGCCCCAACTGCACTATGCAATGCAGGGATGTAAACCACAATCTGTTAAGAGATGTGAACCCCGTTTCGCAAATGCGCACAAGAGTTGCTGTGCAAGACAGCCTAGCACCTGTGTCTTACCTCAAAAAAATGAAAAATGCTGCAAGGAGACAGTATTTACTGGAAAGATTTGAGGCACAAAGCTGTTAGAAATTACAAAAATAAATCTGGGATATTTAGACTTGTGCTGAAACTTAGTAGCCCTTGCAGAAGTACAATGTGAACCTTTGGGTTAGACAAATATGTCTTTGGTTTAGATAAGGCACCCAATCAGATTTAAGTAAAACATTATGGTGGCGTTGGAAAGTTGCAATGATGTTACCAAAAAAAAAAAAAAAACAGGACAGCATATACATCGCCTGATGTTAACCAGTTAACTTATTATGGTATTGCCTGCTACAATGAATAGATTTTACAGTGGTCTTTCTCAGTGGACCCTAAACAATCATGTGGTTGAAAAGGGAAACATTATGGTGCTCTAGTTTTATCATATGTGATTAAAAATAGCACACAAACATTAACTGATCAAATAAACATGAGCTATTACAAAAAATATATTCAACTTTGGCAATAACTGCACATGTAGGTTAAAAACATTTTAAGAAAATCATTTACAGAGTAAATTCACAATAAGAATTACACTCTCCTTAACCTCACCGCAAAAAGAGGAAATCTTAGACATGTCTCTAATGGCACTCAATAGTACGCCTGAGAAATTTAGATGTAAGACAAAAGAAAGCTCAGCTGCGGTCTGACTTCCTGGCTATGTTGACTTGAGGAATCCTGTACCAGAATGTAATTATTTGGTAAAATCATGTTCACTCTTCCATTAGGGAATCAGCCATATAATTTACAGCTCTTAAATCACTCCAGCTTATCTGCAAAGAGCCATTAGCTCTAACTCTCTGGATAGTAAGAGAGCAGAGCAAGAGGCGAGAAGTGCAACTTGCCAGACAACTCTGACACCAGAATGAGTTGAAGAGGAACTACTGGGTTTTTAACCGTAAATCTCTGCTTTTTGCTGAGAGGCTATGGCATTTGTCCAGGAGTCATAACACTTTGCTGTATGAAGTCAAACACTTCAGGATTCAAATCAAGTTGTGGACCTCAAACTGGGCGGTTCATCATACATGAATAGGCAACTCAAAGGATCTTGATGGCAACTTTGCTTGAGACTCAATGAGATGCAACTTAGGTGAGAATATGAGGTAGTCACTAGTTCTCCACCTGAACAAACGCAGATCTTCTTCCTCCTGTCAAACGGGAAATGGTTGGTTGATTTGGGATGTTTTCGCTTGTGACAACCATCATTATTTTTTTTTTAAGGTAAAGCGTAAAAGCAATAAATCAAGAAAGGTGTAAAAATCAAAAAGGTGTAAATGGTAGAAGTTTAAATTGTAAGGTCTGTTGCCTTCATTTTGAGACAGTCACTTTGGTGATGAAGGCAATTTGGTGAGATCCTCCAGGAGATGAGTAAGGAAAGCTAACAGGTGGGTTGGAAGCAACTAGATGGCATCCTTTGTTCTACAGACTTTCTTTTGCATCCGTCGATCTCCATCATTCCCCTCTATAGTCCAAATCTGGGAAGCATTTATTACAACAGAACACACTTTTTGTGATTCTTCTTCGTGACTGGATACAACACTGCCCTTACAGCCTCTGCAAACACCTCCCTGACATTATCTTGCTTCAGTGCAGAGCACTCCATGTACTTGACAGCTCCAATCTGTTTGGCCAACGCGTTGCCCTGCTGCTGAGTGGTAGGGGCCAGACCCTGTTCCTTTAGTTTCTTCACCGTCTCTTCGTCCCCCCTCAGGTCTTTCTTGGTGCCCACCAGCAAGATGGGAACGCTGGGGCAATGGTGGGAAACTTCAGGGTGCCATTTGTGCCTGACATTTGCGTGGGAGGAAGGACTGCCGATGGAAAAGCAAATTATAAAAACATTGGTCTGTGGATAAGAGAGAGTACGGAGGCGATCATACTCCTCCTGGCCAGCAGTGTCCCACAGGTTGAGGCTGACAGAGCGGCCATCCACGCTCATCTGAGCACTGTAATTGTCAAATACTGTGGGAATGTATTCTTCTGGGAAGGCGTTGGTGGTATAAGAGATTAGTAGGCAGGTTTTACCCACTGCCCCATCACCCACCACCACACACTTAATGGTCTGCATCCTGCTAACGACCACTGGGGCTGTAGCACCTGACAAGAGAAAGAAAACAAATAAAAATCTATAAACATTAAGAGATTTCAGCAACACAGCTCATCACTGTTAATAGATTTCATTCCAAAGTTAAGATATTAGAGCCTACAGGGAGAAGAGAAGCTATATATTTACTAGTCTGCCAATCTGCGAAAGTAAATAAAATAAAATACAGTTTTACAAACAACTAGCAGTTCAGCTAGTCGTAGCTACCGTTAGCTCTTTGACGTAGCGTTAATTACCGTTAACCAGATCGGTGTGCTACTTTTTAAGCTGTTTAATCCATAAATAAGCAAAGAAAACTGTAAATCACGGACAGACAAGAAAGGAGCACAAAGTTACCCGCAACCATTTCTACTTCCCAATATTTTATGATTATCACTTCTAACACTAGGCGTTCCCCCTGTGACTGGAACCAAGCTAGGGAACTAGCGTCTGTTGCTAACGGGCTAGCTCATTAGCAAACAAGTTGAGCATTAATTTCCAAACACTACGTAAACTACTTATTTCTGCCAGCTTGCGGGTCTAAAGTTGAGCTAAAAAATATAATTTATTCGAGTCTATACGTCAAAAGTTGTTTTTTGTGTGTGAAAATGAAATATGAAAAAGTTTATGACTTACCGCCACTTAGCTTTCGATCTTTTCTTGCCTGGTTTAGTCAATCACAGCCGCATCCGGGGAGTTGCCCATTACGTAAATGCCGACGTAAGAAGCGTAGGCTGGTAAATGTAGTTTTAATTGGTGACAGCAGTTTCCTTCCTCAAGATGGCGATATAACGCTTTTCTCCTTTTCATCAATATTTAAAGCTGTGTACATTTAAGAATCTGAAACTATCAGTTTTCCTGATGTGATTTTTTTAATTATTATTAAAAATGTTACAAAGGAGCTTACAAATACGAAATGTATCACTTAAAATTTCAAATTACAACAATGTTTATGTGATTACACCTTAAAAGGCTCATGAGGAATTAATAACTTAATAATACTTAGATACATACTTTTACATAGAAAGTTTTAGAATACTCACTGAAGAAGTGCTCATTGGAAAACCAAAAACCCATAACTTACATTTTTGTAAATCTAATTTTGCCAACTTGATATAATAAATCATACTGGACAGATACAAGATATGATTTTATAATTTTGGCATAGTGACCCCACAGACAACACCCTTTACTTTTCTTAGAAACTCCATTCTGCTCACAGGATTAAGTTTTATATAGATATAAAACTTTAAAAAAAAATCATATATTCTATTACAAAGTCATGTTTGTGAGTATTTCAAGACAAACTTGAACGTTATACATGCTATGATTACACTCACTGTCTTAATACGCAATAAAATCACTGCTTTTTACAGTAATCTGCTTTAGACCACAATCATCTTTATAAAACCTGGTCCCACTATTGTTATGTTATAATGAAACAGAAACAAGTAAACTTAAATAAAGGATTTATTTTCTATTGTAGCGATTTTTGCCCTCCATCCATGGAGACACTTTTAATGATGTCATCTCCAAGTCTTGCAGCAGGTTAAAAGGCCATAGGCTGACCAACAAGTGCAGACTTTAGACCACAAAGAGGCACCGGCTTATTGCCTTTCCCAAGTAGTTTTGGCGTCACTACAGGCTATAAAAAGAGATTTCCCACTGGGACCCAACACTCACAGTCACCCTCCACCCCAACTCTCACACCACTACAATTCTGCCAGGAGATTCCAAAGGACTACTATAGCATTTCCATGGCAACAGACATTAAAAGGACTGGCGATGACTGCTTCAAGAGATGCTCATTGAAAGTTCTCAATGCAAACACAGACAAAACAGTTTCTTCAGAAAGGTAGTGAATTATTTCACACTGCATCCAAAAAAATTAAAGCATTTCATGAAGAATTTACGTTAAAGATCTTTAGAAAACCAGATGGAAGGCCAGAAGAATACAAGTTTGCAGGTTCTCCATCCAGCTTGATTGAACTTGGATGATATTGCAAACAAAAACAAAATTACCACTTTAATTTCACCAAAACATGGTTCTATGACAATTTGACTGAAATTTAGGTTCACTATAAATTTTATGTATAATAAATGTTGTAAACCGATTAACCATTTCCTTCTGCACACTCGTTTTTGTTAAACACACCTGGGTTTCTCAACTGAGGGACAAAGAGTATTTCTATTTCAACAGAAATGTGTGTAGCTCTATCATATAAAAGCCAGATTAAATACAATGGAATTTACACTTTTAATGACAAAAACTTGTAAACCTACCAAGTTAAAATTTTGTAGCAAAGTACATCATATAGGAACCGTTGGAAAGGTGAGGACTGAAGACACAATTTTTTTCACAATATTCTCTTTATTTTGTTTCTTTTCTTTTCACTCTCTTTTTTACAAATACAAATCTCAATGTGAATAATTAAATTCAATAAAGTTATAGATTTGTAAATATATATATATATATAAAAAATCAAAGTAACCATCTAATCATGCCTCTTTCAGTTTCTAAAGTGCAGCTTTGTGATGAGGCAATCAACAACACAATTAACTTTTGTATATTGTACCAGGTTCAGTTGAAAACACTGATTATTTAGGTATAGGGCCAAAGTTTTCATAACATAGATCACTTTTTTGTAAACTACCTTACCACCCAGAATATTGGTTAAAACAACTTCCCATAGTTCTTTGTCTTTCTAAGGCATTTCTACAAGAAGAAGTCTTCTATTGTTGTCCTACTGCCTGCAAAGGACACAAATGGGTGTAAAAAGAGGTAGATTGTAGAGAATGCACTACCCAGATATACTGTGAAATACAATACATAAAGTATCTCCAAAGCTCTCTGTGCGTAATTATCCAAATGTAATCTAGGCCCTAAAATGAAGGGGGAAAAAAAACACTTAAGGTTAACTCATATTAACCTGAGGTTTAATTTCAACTCAAGAATACCAGAAATCCATGTAGATATGAGGAATTTGACAAGCGGTCCTTCAGTCATCTCCACAGGGGCTGAGCTGCAGTGGCCTTGGGCATTTTGAGACCAGGTATCCGTGAAGACGCCATGTTTTTAGGGTCAGCAGGCGAAGCATCTGTGCAGGGTGTCGTCTTGGCTGTTTTACTGCGGGCAGCTGAAATGACAGCTGTGCGTATGGTCTTAGCAGTGGCAGAGGATGGGCTGGTGGCAGTCCGTGATTGGGACAGTGGCTGGGTCTCGGAGTTTGGAGCCACGCGTTTGGACACACGAGTGGTAGCCCCTCTGACAAAGGCCAACTGGGTTCTGCCAGGGCCCTTCTCTTGAGGATACCTGTCCGAATACCTCCGAGTCAAAGTGGACTTCTCTGTAACTTGTGACTCATTTGCAGTTCTCTCCCGTGTACTTGTACTTCGTTTCACCTCAACCTGAGTTCCAGCTGCTTCAATGGAAGGAGCCCTGCGTGGAGTGGACGGACGTGTTAGAAGTGTTGGGTTAGTAGGTGTTGGCGCTCCGTTTGAAGGCTCAGTTTTGGAGCGCACTCTGGGAATTCCTGTGCCGTTTGAAGGCAGTGTTCGTGACACAAGCCCCCTCTTTGCCCCGATGCCACTACGCACTGGGGTCTTCGTTGATCTAGCCTCCTCCTTTGATGCTGCAGGCACTGAAGTAGTCCCCTCATTGAGGACAACCTCTCTCTCCTTCCTCCACTTAGAACAAAGGCTCGGTAAGGGTCGTGGGAGAGGTGAGGTTGGGGGAGATATCGTCTCGTAGGACCTCAGACCTTTTACCAGAGTGTGGCACTCCAGTGTTTCACCCACACGTGAGAATGAGCTGACAGCTTCTTTATCAGGGGCTGGCAAATCAGAAGCCTCCTCTGGCTGTGAATGACCCAAGTCTGGCAGACTAGAGGGCATCCAGTCCTCCTTCAGCAGAGTTAAAACCAGTCCAGTTTCTCCATCTTTTGTTAAACCTCCATCAGGTACAGACGTGTTGGAGTGTCTAGGTCCTGGGCTGTACTTGGTCTGTGGCTGGGATGGTACTTCCTCTGTGGATGATTTTAATTTGCTAGCAGTCTTTTTTGTATCTACGTCACAAAGTTTTCCACTTTTGTTAACAGAGTCAGGAACTGAAGGACTTCCAGATTTACACTGAGCAGGGCAATTACTGTCAGTAAGAGTCTTTTTGTACGTGGAGGTCTGTTTTTTAACCCCTTGAGCTGATGCAACGGCACTCAAAGAAACAGAGTCTGTACTAGTAGTGTTCAAAGCCAGGTGTTTAGGAGAAAAATCAGTCTCTTGTAAAAGTTCTGTCGTCTTTAGCTGTTCACGTAGTGAGTAAGAAATGCTCTCAGACCCATATTGCTTCAGGGTGAAGCTTTTTCCGTGTTGAGAGGAGTTAAATACTGCAATGCGGGAGTCTTTAACTGCTTCCATCCTCTGTTTCGGTGTTAAGATTCCTGTTTCAAGAAGAGACTCTTGGTTAAAGGAGGGACATCCACCAGCGTTCTCTGGTGAGCTGCAAAGTAAAGCACTGCTCTCATGGTCTGAGGAGCTGTTTGAGTGAAAACCAACGGATGTTGGGCTACTACCCAAAACTGGGAAGCTCTTCAAAATAGCTGAGCTGTTGAGATGAGTATCCTTTTGCAGGTGGTGAGTGAATCTGCGAGAATCACAGGATCTAAGACTACGGCGACTCCAAGTGCAGCTCAGATTCTTCTCTAAAAGTCTCTCCAATTCATCTTGGCTTTCTTGGCAGTGAGGTTCTCTGGCAAGACTCAGGCCTACGTCCAGTCCTGTACAAACTGCAAGAGAGCGACGCTTTTCCACAATTTCACGTTGACGTTCTATACGTTTCTGCTCCTTTAGGTCCCGTTCTTCATTTTCCTTTATTTTTTGTTTTTAAAGGGGGACAAAAAAGAAATATTGACCATTTAGAAGTGATAAATGGTACAGTAAGGTTTCTATATACCTCTGCAGCATCTTACCTGAACAGCTCTTTGGAACCGATGACAAAACAAATCGAAGACCCTGCAGGCCTCCTCCAGTTTGAAAGTGCTGTCATCTTCACAGAAAAACTCCATCAATGCTTGACTCGACATCCTCATACCCTCTACCTCATCGTCTGCTTCTTTCAGACGCTCTTCAGCCATCTGCAAAATTATGATAACACAAATAATAAATTCTTCCTCTTAAACTGATGCTTGTTTCTAAGCGGGTCTCTAAACTGTGATATTTACCTCTAGAAAAGATTGTGTCTGTTGTTTCATCTCCGTCTCACTCTCCATTTTTGTCTTGAGTGAAGCCACTCTGCTTTTTAACTTTGCCAGGTCATCTAGAACAGATTCTTCACACAGTCTGTAGAGATATACAATGGGGAATATTGTAACTTCAACATGTCTTAAGACAGAAAACAGAAACCAAAGGGATGACAATTGGGTGCACATTACCCTCTCATCTTTCTAGGGTATATATAGTATTGCAAAGTGAAGCAAAGTAGTTCAGATTTTGGCTCAGAGTAGCAGACTTGCTGTAACCCAGTTTGAAAGTGGCAACTCGCTGCAAACTTAGAATGTGATTAAAGTTTTAGCAAACTTTATCAGACCACAAGGAGGTATTGTTATTTCTGAGTGGGCTGAGTGGGAATATTCCCTCAGAACTAATCGGCGCCTAATCTAGAATTCGACAGGATCCAAGGTTTGAGAACAGACTGACCTGGAGGCGGAGCCAACGTGGCCTAGTTGGCTGGGAAAAGACAGCAAACTCTGGTCTTTTTTCACAGCTTCCTGCAGAGACAAACACAATTTATTATCTAGCCATTGTTTGAGAAGATGCAACACATCATTTGCAAAGAAATCATATGACAATGTCCTCCAAGGAACTCTTTGCTTGGAGAGCCCATCTCGTATATGAGGGACTTTGTCACCTAAAAGTATCTTACCAAGCCAACGATATGCCACCTTATAAACATGCAGATCTAGATTTGCAAATATAATGATGTAGCATTAAGGTGTGAAACTTTTCCCCATATTAAGCATTTTTTTTACGTAATTGTCATGGAGAGTAAAAATTTTTATATTTGACTATTTTGCATTGTGGATTCCAATAAACATGACAGTAATTGGAGGATTTAGGCATTCAAATAAAGACTTGTCCTCCACAAACTGAGAATATGACAAACTGCACTTCACCTCAAGAGTATTTCCATCAGAAGACATTTCAATTTAACACCAGGGTTGGATCTTGCTTTTTCACAGCTAGTGAGTAACCGCAATGCCAAATCATTACATCAAAAGGATTCTTCCAGTAAATAAACCCTAAACTAAACCAAGCAATTTCAAACAACCGCTACAGCTAACATGTTCTCTTTAAAGTAACTGCCAATACTGGGGGCCTCTTATCTTCTTTTTTTTTTTTTATAAGGTAGTTACAAACATTAATTTTAGCAGTATCTATTTATATAAACTGGATAGAAATGTCCTGATGGTTAATAAATACGTTTGCAAACTAAATTCAGGAGAAAATGGTGACTATAAAACGAGCTGTTGAGCTCTGATCCTTCTTTAAAACAAAGACAGAGAAACCGACTGAGAACTTTTGGTAATCCAGAACAGTGTTTTCATTTGTTTGCTTTTGTTTTGAGGAATATAAACGAATAACTACAAATCTAAAGCTAATTTCAGCTTTTAAAAAGGAGTCTGTTACAGTGATGCACGGCACCCATGTTCCTTTTATTTAGGGTTTTCGGTTCGCTGGTGGTCTCCATAACCCTTCCCCCATTGTTTAAAAAAAGCAGCTCTTTCCTTAAGCTCAGCAAAGGGTTTGCACTACAGCACAATCGTTTTCTTGCTGCTATAGTTGGTACATGGCCAGTTGGACCAAAAAGTAAGATAAAAACAGTGCTAAGAGGGTTTATAATAAACAAACAGTCCTTTAAAGGCTGAAAACTTATGTCTCCCTTTCAGGAGGGAGGTCGACCCTGGACAGGTCACTAGTCCACCTCAAGGTTAGCACAAAGACTAGCAGGACAGGCACCCATCCCAGACACAGTCACATTTGTTGTGACCCATTAACCTCACATAGATTTTTATGGAGGGTGAAATGATACCAGAGTACGAGAAAAATCATGAAAACTGGATTTTAATTCTCGTCATGCAGCAACAGTGCCAACTGTACCCCTGTGCAGCTAATTTATTTGTATAACTAGCATTTGTTCCTCAACTAAATCATAATTCAGAACATACCATAGCAACAAAATGCAGCAAATTCATTCCTGGCTTGTTGGCTTTGGTGTCTGCTAATTTAAGAAGTGATGAAATACGAAAGCCAGCCGCATTCCCTGCATATCCACCCTGAAAAGAAATGAAGAAAACCTTAAAAACACCAGATCAAAACCTTGAATGCAAAACCGTCATCCATTAAAAACTGAAGCATAACCACAAAAGAACTGATCTAGCAATTTTTTTTTTTTTTTTTAGAAGCACTCAATAATTGAGTGATCGACTGACTACTCACAGCGTTCATGTAGTTCCCCGCTTTCAGCACTAATCGGAGAATGGAGTGCAATTCAGGACAGCTCAGCAGTTCTAGGAGAGTAAAGATAATCAATTTTGTGCCTTTGGTGTTAAATGATAATTAAATGTGCATGCAGGAGACATAAAGGCAATGGAATAAGTAAGCAACTTTTGTCCAAAAAATAAATAAAAGCAGTGAATGCAAGTTTCTCCTAAATCACACGATTAGCCTGAATGATAAATAGATTTTCTCATTTCCACTGTGGCGCCTAACAAAACCACTGGACTAAACAAGTATCTTAGCAGGCCAATACAGTCTTGTGTCTTAATGGCGGCAGAATACACAACTCCCTGCTGTTACATTACCTCTAGCCGCCTCCCTCAGACATCTGGCTGCCACACACAGAGAGGTCAGAGCAGGGTCAAACTCTTGCTGCAGGATCATGGCATCCAGATGAAGCCGGAAACTGGCGAAAGAGAAATGAGTAAGATGGATTGATCAGTGGGGATGTTTGGCCGATGATGGAGACATAAAGGCACCAGAGATCAGTCTTCTGTTTAAAAAACATGACATGGAAAACTAAGCGAGGCCGAATCACAGGAGAAAAATAACAAAAATTGGCATGCGATTTATTTCTTTACATGAACACACATATGTGTAAGTAACTAATAATTTGTTGCTGTTTATTTTGGGGGGTAATGTGTGTTTTACCTGGGAACTTCCACTAAAAGTAACATGAAAAGATCAGGCTCTCCAAGACAGCTCCGTTCTCCACTGAACCTCCTAAGCCGACATTCCTGTAAGAGAGAAAATGTATGTTGTTAAAAAAGAAAACAACTGAAAACTAAACTTGTTAAGATTCCGCTCCAATATCTTTTTTAGCAGGATTTCTGTCTAGGAACAGACCACATCATACAAAGTAGTGTAATAGCAAACTTTTGATCCTCCTAACCAAAGCCAGATGAGTAAAGTGAGCAGAGTGGGGGGAAGGTGAAGAGGATGCAGACTGTCACTCGTAGCTGTACGCTAAAATCAGCCTTTTTACCTCCTCACTGTCAGGGAGCAGTTTGCAGAGCTCTGTAAGCTTCTCTGCTCCGTAGCGATCTCCAACACCATGCCTTATATCTTCAACGATCTCCTTGGCTGGCCTGTGAAAAGAAATATGCAACCTTATTTCAGAAAAAGAGAAAACTAGAGGGTTGCTGTGATTGAAGAAAGCAACCAGAGGACAAAGAAAAGGAAGCCATGCTCAAGAGGCATCCAAAGACCTTGGGGTGTCATGGTAAAAGATTAAAACAGAGATGTTTGTTTAACCTCTGCCTTCCTTTCTCAGAGTGAGACCCGGGTCCACTATTCCAGATGAATCTCATTATTCCTACCTTCTTGTTACATTCCCCCACTCATGACTGTACTGCACATGTTAATCCTTATCTTCAGATCAGTTCATCTTATTCAGCGCTCACTATTCATTTGACAGACACCAGTGGTTAAACTGATCCAAAGCTGCCTAAGAATAAATGACTCTCTAAAGAACTATTTCAATGGAAACACTTACAGTTAATCTTCTGAAAACAAAACACTGAATGCAGTGACGTCCGTTAAGAAAGAAAACTAAATTATATTTAAGTCCAAGACAGACGACGAAAAACATAAAACCGGATTTTGTTTAAACTGTTATTGCGTTTAAAAAAAAACTGTTACAGTGCGTCTCTTTATGACAAAAGGCAACCAGCCGCCCAATAAGACAAATGCTTGTCTGCAGACGAGACTCATTTCACACAAAAAAAAGGCTTTTCCTGCAAGTCCTGACAAATCTAGTTTAGAAAAGAAAGCATCTCCAGTCGAGAATCTCATGGTGGCATGGCAGCATTGCAACTTGGCACTTTCCATGACTGTGAGCAAGCATTGCATAATTGCCAACACAATAGTTCAGGGTGTCCTAGAGGTTAGTGTATTAAAACGACTAAATGGTTATAAAACAGCTCTTCTCAGGGTAATAGGTGCAGCTTTGAGCCATACATACATACCAAAAGAAGCTTTTAAGGGATTGCGGACTAAGAAAGGCCACTAGTTGCTTCTCTGTCAGCAGGGAGCTACATTTTAGATTAGCCGTTCTTTACCCATATCAGCAGGTGTCACCTCTGTCTCCAACAGAGCCACTTACTCATAGCCCTTCCTTAAAGCCCCAGCTGCTTATAGTGTTCAATCCCTAACAATACAGCAGACATCCCCTTCACCGAGGTGGCTTTACACCTCTGACACCTGCTAACAACAGACAAATGGCTGTTTTCTGCACTTCATGTCAAGTACTAATTAAGCTTACTGTTGTTTTTTTTTATGGTCTTCTTTGAGTGTTGATTTATTTGGGGGAAATCTGAGAGCACAAACCTTACCAGAGCTTTTTAAATTACTCGAGTGGCTTTTTATTGTGTCAAACAAGGCTTAAAATGTACCAGCCTGTAAAAGAAATGATTGTCCCTTTCATTTACACTGAAAATGTTTTTATATTAAATTAGTTTGATTGTCAGACAACCACTAGTATTTGAATTGTCTTGGTGGTCCTTTGAGGCCTTAGGGACTGGAGGACTTCTTAAAAGAAAGTACCCATGCATCACTTAATGACTTTAACCTCACGCACATTGGGGTTATGCCACAGTTTAATTATCTGAAGCACACCTGCAAGTTCACCTCTGAATGGCCCCAAAAAATTTAAAAAACAAAGTTTTGGTCTGGCCAAAAGTACAAAAGTATTATTGGGATAAAATGTTCTGGCCTGGACTTAAACGGAATAGAAAACCATCATATTAGAACAATTCTGCAAAGAAGAGTCAGTGGTTCATTGACGGTAACTGCAAACACTTTATGGCAACTGTTGCACAACCAGTTTAGGGTTTAGAAGACAAGTACTTTTTTTTTTCCACACAGGGTTGGTTTTTAGACTGCTTTCCGTTTTTAATGGATCACAACAATCGTTTAAAAATGCTGTTTTGAATTCCTTCTGGTTGTCTTTGATCCAAAATTTTATTTAATGATCAAGGACATTCAAGTGTGACATAAAGAACAAATAAATAATCATTCTGGCCCAGTTTTAAAGACCATCAAGTCAAGACCAGGACAATATGTAGCCAATCAAACTAGTTTAATGTGAATGTATGTACGGTAATGTCCAAATTGCAAAGAAATTCCTAGACTGTAATGTATGTTAGCTAAAGATTTTAGTAGCATGTATTCAGGCTTCTATGGTAAAACTAAACTCCTCAATGCTAAAGCAGCAGATGCAAACCAAACATTTTTTGTCAACAAAAACTTGAATAAATGGGAACAATCTTTTTCTTTTTCTAGTTTCTGGATAACCTCTCACAGTCTGGGTTTTCTGTTTGCTATGAACCCAAATCAGAAAGACATTAAAACTTATTTTCCTAATATCATGCTTCTTAAGTTTTAGCGATAAAGAAAGAGCCTCCCAACAAATACTCAGCATTGTTTAGTATGAAGATTGAGCTCTAGGAAGGCACTAGGAATCTTACATTTTGAACTGTCGTAGAAATATCCCTATGTTCATGCTGCGTTTGGAATCCAGCAGGAAAATCTGTATGGAGGACATACATGTAAGAAGGAGAATATTGAAAGAAAAACAGCCAAACAAAAACAATTTGTTGCTATTTAACTGGCCTGACCTCTTCCGAGCTGTCCTGTGGGGATCTGCACCGCAGCAGTGCAGACCGTCGCCTCAACGTCACAGTTCTGTCCCTTGGCTTGCTGTCCTTTTGCCCAAACAGTTCATCTAGAGAATGCAGATCTATGGGGAACTCATCCTCATCGGGTGCCGCGCCGCTCCACACGCTCTTCCTGCCTTCCACCTTCTCTTTGGGAATGCGTTCCCAGTTCAACTTCCTCAGACGACTTTGACGGACGGCGTTCGCACGGCTAAAAGGCGAGGAAGACAAAGGTGGCGGCAGGGGAGGAGGAGGAGGGGGAGGAGGTGGGGGTCCTGGAGGGGGAGCCAACACCTGAGGTGACTCCATGGTTGTCTCTACCACAGCGTCAGCGGTAGCAGAGCAACTTGAGAGCCCAGTTCCATGAAAGGCACGAGAATCCTTGACGGTCACGCTCAGGTTGATGTGCATAGAGGCAGTTTAGTTGCCAGAGAGGAGCAGGCTCTGCCGCCTTGCTCTCCAAGCTTCTTTTATACAATCCAGAGTTTTTGCTGTATGCCGAAGTCCAATCTGTAAAGGCAAGGACACAAAACAGATTAAATTTAAGATCAAGAAATTACACTTACACCTGTTTTAACATGCAACCCTCTTCAAACGTTTATGACTGGCATAACATCTGGGACCATTTACTATTTCATTATCCTGTTTTTGGTGTACAGCAACCCCCGGAACTAAGAGTCCAGTCAGTGACTCAACATTCACCAGAAATATGCTAGTATTTTTAACTGGAAAGTACATGAAGGCAAGACGAGCTCTTAAATGTGGGCTGTTTGAGCAGCTTGTCTCATCCTGTTCAGATTCACCTCATTGCATGTGCACACACACTCCTCCATTACAGATTTGTCTTTCTAATTATAAAACATAAAGACACCCATGTTAGATGGAGGGTCTACAGCCCTGGAGATCCTTTCTTTCCCTACATACAGCTAGAAGAGAAAATATTGATTTGAATAAACATTAGTGGAAATCTTGTCACTTCATTTGATCAATCTATACAATCTCTTCATTTCGTGTGTTATCTGCTATGAGTCATAACCTTTGATAGACTGCAGGGATGTGCTTGATGGCCAACCTGTCAGAGGCGTAGCCAGAACATTTTTATAAGGGTGGCCAGGCAATAACCAATGTACACTGAGGGGTTGCTGAAAGCGGATAGGCGCCAGGACCTCAGGGTCAATCTACACTGATTCAACAGGGAAGTTAACGAGCAAAAAATCCATATTTTCTAAATAAAGACAAACTGTACTTTCCTACAACCTTTGCTAACAAATAGACGCATTTATATTTAAACATCCGTGCTTTCTAGATAAAAGGTATAAAAGTCTTTCAGTTTTGAGTTCTGGGGCGTAAATCTTTTCCATCGTCATTACTTACCTACTTTTATCAATAAACATTCTGCATAAAATTGATATTTACAAGCACTGATATCTACATAAATTGATTATTTGATACGTTTTTATTAAAATTGTTATTTATCTATGATTTCACTGAAGATTCCTAGATGTCCTGCAGAGACACATCATTTTCTCTTTACCCCATATAACAAAAAATCTAGTTGAAAGCATGAATTCTGTACTTATCTTTGATGTCAGTATAGTGATATATAATTAACCAAAAAATCACAAAAAATGTAAATGTTTTGAATATTCCACTTGAGAGTATTACTGCTGCCACCATCTGTATTAGAGGGGGAAAAATGGTAGGGGTGGCCAATAATTGGGTAAAGGTGGTTATGGCCACCCCTGGCCCCCCATCTAGCACCGCCCCTGCAACCTGTTCCACTGAGATCCGCATGAGCGCGCAGCAAAAACCACCTCCAGTAATCCAAGTCATTATCAATTCCTGAGATCTGATAGAAACCATGAATGAGACCTGTTTCCCGAAAATAAGTTTGAGCAAGAACATTTGTCTTAAAAAAAGAAAGTTTGGGGGGAAATTAAAGAGCTAAATAGATTTCCATGGAATTTAAAAATGCGTCCAGGTTCCTCAAGTTGCCAAATGATGAAAGATAAGCGCCCTATCGCACGAAATGATGTTTATCTCAGCATAAAGTGACTACACCCTACAGTAAAACATGTCCGAAATTAGTTTTCATACAAATAAAAAAAGAGAATATTTTAAAATTATTTTCGTTTCTGTTTGAGTCCAGTCAGTGTGTTTGTTTCACTTACCTGACGTCCTGAAAAGTGTCTAAAAGCGAGTATAAAACCACCGATATCTCCTCCATACAGTCACCTTCACTTTATCAAAGTTGCTGGAAGTTTTTCCTTCATTCCTAAAAGTTATTGCGCTTTACTCGCAGCAATCTCTTCTCCTCTTCCACTTGCAGAGAAACTTCCCCACTGCTCACCGCGAGCGCGCAGGCGCGCACCCCCACATTCATTAGTGCCCCATCCCTCCCTCTCACCCTCCCAGTTTTCCCATGGGCGGACTGAGGGGTTGTCAGGTGGTATAAGGTCAGTCTGCAACTTTAATCAACTTTGAGCGTTTAGAGACCAGGGGATGCATGTGTTTTCAATGCAACATGAGATTTTAAAATGACTCTTACTACTAAAACCACATGCAGTCTCTTTTAATTATAATATTTGTTTTTATACATATTTATCTATTAAATATCATGCATTGTCGTCATTTTTTTTTTTACTCTCCTTAAATTTTTTACATTTTCTCACTTTGCAACCATAATTCTCCATGTATGACTTATAAAGTAAAAATAATACGCAAATTAAACAAACTAGTGAGAAAGTCTGTTTCTGTCCTGGGCTGCACTCTGGGCTTAGTGGAGGAATTGGCTGAGAGGAGGGTGCTGTCCAAGCTTGCATCCATCATGGATAAAGGCTGATTTCACCTTCCACCCTCTGCACCAGACTGTAGAGGAGCTGAGTAGCTCCTTTACTGAAAAACGTTTACACCCTGTTTGTAAAGAGGAGCGCTGCCAAAGATCATTAATCCCTGCTGCAACCAGACTCTACAATGCGACACGACAATGGCAATAGTTATGCAATGTATAATGTGCAATTACTATTTGATACCCTGTGCAATAACCTGTTTCTCTATTTTTGACACCCAATGCAATAACTATATATAAATATGAATATCCATCTATATAAATACTAATGTAAATACCCTGTGCAATAGCCCTGTATAATATTCCTACAAAAAAAAAAAGCTGTCATGTGGACACACTGTATATACTGTATATATCCCATGCACCTTTTTCTTTGACTATTTGAGCTGATGTAACAGGTACATTTCTCCACTGTGAGATCAATAAAGTCAGTCAAGCAATCAGTCGATAAAAACTGTTCTCAAAATGCTTTACAAAGATAAAGCTGAAATATATGATGTTAATTTCTATTAAGTCTCCTTTACTGAGATACGAGGGGCGTTCAATAAGTAATGCCCCTGACCCACTTCCAGATGTTTGATCGACCTGAAATTTTGCATGTGAAATTATTTAAATCTCTATAGATTAAATGGAAAATTACAGCTCCTAGCTAATTGTAGTTTCTGATTTACAGGTGTTCAAACTACGTTAAGTCTGTGTTTTTGCATTTGAAAGGACGCACACCACGGGAGACTTTTGATCAAAGGAAAGCAACTTATAATAACAATGTCCTATAATATAACCTTGTAAAACATTTTGCAAGGTCATATAATGGGCATCATCGCCATAGGTTACTTTAATTTAATCAAAAGCCTCCCGTGGTGTGAGTCCTTTCAAATAGAAAATCCTGATTACTGCTCGACACTCTACCGGCTCCATTTCGGACTTTACTCAGTTCAAACACCTGCTAGTCAGAAACCACAAATAGTTCAGAGCAGCAATTTGCTACTTAATCTATAGAGATTTAAATAACCTCACATGCAAAATTTCAGCTGGATCAAACATCTGGAAGTGGGTCAGGGGCATTACTTATTGAACGCCCCTTGTAAACTATATAATATCTGGTGCATCTATTGTTTTAAGAAGTGAACTATGCAACAAAGTCCCCCGAATAGAATGTAACCTCGTCTGTTTATGAAACCCTAGAGGATTATAAAATAACATTAGTTAATAAATAGCATTGCATATGCCAATGGATGTAAGTAGATAGGTCAGTGAGTGAAAGGAAGAGTTGCAAGCTCCCTAATTAACAGACTTTAAATCATCAGATTTAAGTTGAACTGGAGTACGGCACAACCAAAAACTTACCAAGGTATGGCTGCCATCCTGAACCAACAGGTAGCAGGTCAGGTGTGAGGATTTGTTGGCAGAATAATCAGAATCAGAATCAGACATGTTTTAATAATCCCAGAGGGAAATTACAGATAGCTATTAGATAACTATTAGTCATGCATTCTTTAAAGTCTGGCCGACATCAAAGAGTAGCACGATTAAAAAAAAACTAAAATAACTGCCTTTTTCACAAGTTACATAAGACACAGCAGCCCTTTAGAAAAAGGATAGACTGAAGTTTCATGAATATTGGTATCAATAGGTGCTATCCAACAGGGCCTTTTAAGCAAAGAAGAATCTCCAGAACATTCAGTCCGTAGACTAAAAGACATGCCCTTAAAGACTTGCAGCTGTAATTACAGTGAAAGGCGGTTCTGCAGAGTATTGACTCATCTGAGATGAATACAAATGTGAATCACAATTCCAGATTTTCAGCTTTAGAAAGATGTAAAGATCTTTCAACATTTTACTTGCAGCTTTTAATTGTTTTTGAAGCAAGCCAATCCTGCTTAATGTTTGTGGCTGCAGAGTGACAACAATATGAAACGGCTCAAGGGGTAGGATTCTTTTTGCAAGCCACTGTATATATGCACACTGTCAGGAGCTGTGCATACAACATGATACGTCTCTGTTTCTGTTTGATCATCGAGTATATGATATGTAATTGGTGCAGAGGGCCTTGATCTTGCCTAGAGGAGTATGCTATTGAGAAGCTGAGAGAAGGAGGAGATGGGTATCAGACATGGGAAATTATGTCTGCATCTCCTCCCTGAAGCAAGAGTGACACATAGGTGAAAGCTAAGAGTCTAGAAGTCCCTTTAGGGTGCTGAAATGTCCCAGGTGTTGGGCTACGGACCAATGACACAGACCTTTCATCTAAGGTGCCGGAGCGCTCCTGGCCGACGTCACCAGCTCTTTCCAAGTCCGGCTCAGGTAGCCCCTTTCACAGGCGCCGCTGACAGACCTTCCTCATCACATGTTGGGCTGTAGTGATTAGCAGGTTATGACCCCAAATATCTGGCTTTTATTGTGTAAGCGACATGGGGTATGTTATGGTGCACCCAGCCAGAATAAACCTCTCTCAGGAAACTTAACTTTCTGTTCAGTCGCTCTCTCCTCAGAGTACAGTGCACCTCGCAGAATAAGAGGAAATGCCACTGTTGAAAGACAGAAGCTTTATAGTCCACAGAGGGCCTGAACAACCCTGCACAATTACACCTATTATGCCAGCATTTATGCAGTGAGGACATTGAAACAGTGACTAATGAATTGCAGGGGCTTAACTTGGCTTCCCTCACTGGTTTCACTAAAATTGGTTAGACTGGAAAGAAACAAACAGTCCTCCAGCTGGATCGAATAGAGAATCTCAGTGTTTGTGTGTCCTTTGGTTCATCCTTTTATGAATGAAGGTGCTCATTTGTAACATTTGCAAGCACTTATCCTTAAAATGGGAGGAGAATTTTAAGCTTTTGCTGTTATGTTTGCCCTTTCTTTGATGTCTAAACCTATTTGACTTCATTTCCTAATGGAGACATAAGGTATAAACACGAGACTGCGGTGCCAACTACCCTGTAGCTCAGCTTTTAGATCAGTGGGGTGGTTTCAGCCATGGCAGCCAGCTTTAGCCCTTCATCGTCTCCCCTTCTTAATCTCGCTTTGAAGTTCTAGAAGGGTTGCTCAAAGGTGAAGGCTATTAGCTTCTACTTCCCCTACTTTAAACACATGTTAAAGATATACTGAAGTGTTTACAATACTCTCAAACAATCCCAGAATTCTAAGTAGGCCAGAAACCTGTTCTGTTTAGATACAGTGATCAGATCTCTGCAGTGACCTTTGCTAATATTGTTTTTTACAAAGCAGAAATTATCCGGATGCGGCTACATCAATGGAATAGATTTTTTATTTTTTTTTGTCCAGATGTCCCATTCACTATATAGTTGTGAAAGAGCCATTGAAACCATCCCATGTGAAAGTATTGATGCTATGAGTGAGGACTTTTAGTGTTGATCCCCCTTTGGTTTGCCTTCTGAATCTAGGCCACTTCCATGGTTGAGTAAAATAGGTCAGATTCACTGTGGCTCTGCAGGGGTACTAAACACATGCATGAAGTTAGCATGTGTGTAGCTGAGCAACAAAATAGCTGTATGCACACACACACACACACACACATAAACACACAACTGGATCTGATTCCAGGCTGTAGGGACAGCAGGCCTGTGGTGGTATCCCTAATCAAATCCAGCTTCCTCAGATCTCTCTTGGTTTTCCAGCTGCAGACAGATCAAGTGCAGTTGTCCTGAATGGCCCGACAAAGATCTCCGCCTCTGGTCAGGGGGCCTGATAAGCAATGACAGCTAAAGAGGAGCAGGATATGTGAACAGACAACCATATGTGAAAATCTAGACTGGACAGTCATTGGTTTTTACCATATCTGTCATTTTTGGTACCCTTTTTATTGCATAATCACACTGAATATTATTTGAGTCTATAGACAAAAGTCATTGCTTACATTTCAAACTTGTTTTGTTTTCTTAAACCAAGAAAGGGTTGGTGCTGTTGGTAGTATTGGTGCATTTTTTATTTTGTTTTTGGTAAGTTGAATCACCTTAGGCTAGACAGAAAGGATGCGTGTAATTTCTGTCGATATGACCTTGCATAATTTGCTTCAGTTAAGCTCTGCATGGTAGGGGAAAGGCCGAGGTGCTTGTGGTCAGTCAAGCATGAGGGAAGGGTTGACCCTGCTGGTCTTTGCACATCTGGCCACTGGAGCCACTTCCGACTCCAATTTGGATTTCCTGAGACTCAATAAAGATGATTGTTGGCCCACAAAAACACCCTAGCATACTGGCCCACCCCTCTATTCTCTTCAGCAAATTCAGCTGCTGCACTCATCATGCTACAGAAAACCACAGTCATGCTGCCTCCGTTGTCTGAGTGACAATAAAGCACCCGGTATAAAAACATTTTCTAAGTTTCTTGCTTAATTATTCTTATCCCATTATCTTGTTTACAGTTAATTTACTTTAAACCAATATACTTAGGTTTAGTTTATCAGGTTTGGTTGAGATTTTATGCCAAAAACCAACACAAAGCAGCAACATATTGTAAAGCATAATG